TAGTAGTAGTAGTAGTAGTAGTAGTAGTAGTAGTAGTAGTAGTAGTAGTAGTAGTAGTAGTAGTAGTAGTAGTAGTAGTAGTAGTAGTAGTAGTATAGTAGTATAGTAGTAGTAGTAGTAGTAGTAGTAGTAGTAGTAGTAGTAGTAGTAGTACTAGTAGTAGCAGGGGGAAGAGGAGGACGACGACGAAGAGGAAAATGAGGCGAAGGAGGGGGAGGAGGACGAGGAGGAGGACGAAGAGGAGGAGGATGAGGAGGAGCAGGAGGAGGAGGAGGAGGAGGAGCATCGACGATTTGGGGGAGGAACCAAGAAGCACGTGGGAGGAGGGCCAACGTCAGGCCCCGCAGGGCCGCGGGGTCCTGCACCGCCCGCAGCAGGTGCTCCGCGCGCTGCTCTGCGCGGTTCTGCCAGGCGTGGCTCTCGCTGCTCACCTCGCTCATTTTGTTCGTTCGTGCCGCAGAGGAGGGAGCATGGGGAAGCGCAGGGCGGCAGAGGGGGAGGGCGAGGAGGAAGGGGAGGGCGAGGCGGCAGAGAGGAGGAGGAGGAGGAGGAGGAGGAGGAGGAGGAGGAGGAGGAGGAGGAAGAAGAGAAGAGGAGGAGGAGAAGGAAGAGAAGGCGGAAGGACTGCAGAGAGGAGGAGGAGGAGGAGGAGGAAGAGGAGGGAGGAAGGATGGCAAAGAGGTTGAGGAGGAGGCGGAGGAGGAAGGACGGCAAAGAGGAGGAGGAGGAGGAGGAGGAGGAGGAGGAGAAAGGACGGCAACGAGGAGGAAGAGGAGAAGGAAGAGGAGGAAGAGGGGGGGAGGAAGAGGAATGACGGCAGACAGGAGGAAGATGAGGAGAAGGATACTGAGGAGGACGAAGAGATGAGGAAGAGGAGGAGGGAACGTCCCCTGAAGAGTCCTGGCCCCCTGTGCCTCGCGAGAGCGCTGGGCAGCGAGAACACGAAAGCGGGCGGCGGCACGGGCCTCAACGTGAGCGTGACGGGGGGGCGCTGGCCTCCCTCTTCATGGCGTGATGAGTGAAAGCAGGGCAATGGCTCGCCGTCGCTCGGACGTCAAATTCCCCGTGCGTGTTTCGATGTCGTGCGTGTTGGCTCGAGGGTCCGTGGTGCTCCTCGATGGCACTCGCCGACAAGAGGTGCACGCGTCGGAGAGATGCCGAGATGGCGAGAGAGACCGAGCAGCACAACCGAGCGAGTGCTGACCTCCGTGCGACGATTCTCTCTCTCTCCCCCCGCGCCCCCGCCGGACCAGGATCTCTCCCAGGAGCGGCCGCGGAGGGCCCGAGCCACGAGCTCGGGAAAGCGCGAGCGAACGAAATCATGCGGGATGCAGTCTCGGCATTCCGGGCAGCCCCTGAGGCATGCTTTGGGGCCAGAGGCCACATGCAGACGACAGCCGGTGCTCCAGGCCCCGCGGCGAGTCTCAAGAACGCACCATCGGAGGGCCGGCTTTCGTCAGTTCGAAAACGAGCAGGACAGCTTCCACCTGAGAGGGAAAGAAAGAGAGAGAGAGAGAACAATACCAACAACAAAAAACACATAAAGAGAAAGAGAGAGAGAGAGAGAGAGAAAGTGATAGAGAGAGAGAGAGAGGAAGAGGGTTTCGCAGGAATGCTTCAATCGGGAAGCCATGTTCTCAACCTCCGACGTAAGGTGTCGTGAGAATCCCACCAGCCCTTTGGGCGACAGGTGGTCTAAGGGTGATCTCTTTTTTCTTCTATAACCCCTCTTCCCCTCTTCCCTTCAAGGAGGGGAACCCTCCCCCTCCCCTCCCTGTTTTTTTTTGGGGGAGGGGACCGATGTGTCAGAGGGTCCTTTTTCGGCCAATAGGAGGGCCAATTTTTGACACCCCTCACGAGGGTAATTAATGGCCCCCGAGGGGGGAGCAGACATCGAGGACTCCCCCCCTCTTTTGACCGACCGCCTTCGAAATGGCACTGAAAGGCCCTTCAGGGCTTCCAAGAGGCCCCTAGGAGAGCTCCAAGAGCGCCCCAAAAAGCTCCAAGAGGCCTCCAAAAGGCACCCGAGAAGCACCCAAGAGGCCCCCGAGCGGCCTCAGAGAACCCAAGATGACCTCCAAGATGGCTCAAGATATCCGAAGCTGGCTCAAGGTGGTTCCCATGATGCTCCAAGGGGCCCCAAGGCCGCTCCAAGACTGCTCGAAATGGCCATGGGGCCTCCCCAGGAGGCCGCCAAGAAACCCAAATCCTTTGTGTTCAAAGCGATAGAGCTCCAATAAGTCGGCCCCCCAAGAGGCCACATAAACTCACCGGAGGCACGCAAGACGCCGTCCTCGTCCTCGTCCTCCTCGTCCTCCTCGTCCTCGTCCCCCTCCTCGTCCTCATCCTCGTCGACCTCCTCGACCTTGTCCTCCTCCTCCTCCTCCTCCTCCTCCTCCTCCTCCTCCTCCTCCTCCTCCTCCTCTTCCTCCTGTTTCTCATCCTCCTCCTCGTCCTCCTCTTCGTCCTGTCGTTCTCGTCCATATCCTTTGTCCCCGATTCGTCATTTCCCTCCTCCCCCTCCTCCTCATCCTCCTCCTCGTTTTTATCCTCCCCCTCCCCCTCGTCCTCGTCGTCCTCCTCCTCCTCCTCCTCCTCCTCCTCCTCCTCCTCCCTCCTCCCCTTCCTCCTCCTCCTCCTTTTCTCATTTTTTTTTCCTCCTTCTTCTCCTTCTCCTTCTCCTGCTCGTGCCCTCCTCCTCCTCCTCCTCCTCCTCCTCCTCCTCCTCCTCCTCCTCCTCCTCCTCCTCCTCCTCCTCCCCCTCACTCTCTCAATCCTCGTCCTCCTCATCCTCGTCCTCCTTCTCTTCCTGCTCCCTTCTCCTCCTGCTCCTCCTTCTCCTCCTCCTCTTCCCCCCCCCCCCTTGCGCGGGAGGAGATGGCCCCAACGCGCCGTCCAGGCTGGCCCCCCTCGCTGTTTGACTGCGCGTGTCTCTTCCCCTCTCCCCCCGTCAGCTCGCATGGGCATCGTTTCTGGATGGATTGGCGGGGGTACTTTTGATCGCGACCGCGTCGAAAGAAGTCGGGCGGCGTCCAGGAGCGTAGCAGACGAGCAACGAGGCTGGTGCGGATAATTTTTGTTCGCAAGCGTGCCGGGATGCCGGGCGCCGTCAAGAAACGCGGCTGACTAGCAACGAACTAATTCCGCGGCAGGAGGGGGAAGGAAAACAAGTGGATCACGAGGCGAAGAAAAAACACACACAGGAAGCGAGTTACGCTGCGGCTCAGGAGACGCGATAGACCAGGAAGAACAACCAGCCGAGGTGCAACACCAAAGCGGCGGAATTCATGTTGTTCACAAGCTCGAGGAAGGCGACCACCGACATGGCCTAGCACCGAGAAAAACGCCCCGATGCAGATGACGGCCGTGACGCAACCGATGAGGACGTCGAACAACGACCTGCAAGCGCTCAGCGGAGCAGGGTTCGGATCGCCAAACACCGACAAGTCAGGTGTCGGAGCAAGGGACGTGGAAGCGACGGCAGCGCCACCACGGGCGGGGGGACAGGGGGAAGGCAGCGACAGGGCGGCCCAGGGGTAAGCTGGTGCGAGGAATCGGTGAGAGGAAGCCAAGCTCCGGCAAAAGTGTCGGCGAGAGCCGACGCCAGGGGACATGAGCAGACACTGGGGAAGGCGACGTGGGAGAGGACCGGGTGTCCGTCTACCCTGGGCGGTCGGGGTCCCACCGGGAGGAAAGCCCCCAGGGGGGAAGTACTACCCCGATCGCTACGGGCCGAGGGGGTTCCCTGCGGCCTCGCACGCTGAGGCAGTGCCGCCGCGACGCCGGCCGCGGTGCCGCCAGCCGCCGTCGCCGCCGAAGGGGAGCCAGCGGCGGCGGCAGCAGCGGTGCCGACGGCGGCGGCGGCGGCAGCGGCGGCGGCCGCGGCGAGGAGCGGCGCGACGGCGAGGGAAGCGGCACGCGCAGCGCCAGCCGCGGCCGCGGCGCTATGGCGCGGGCGGCGCAGGCGGAGCCCACCACGACGGGGGTGCCGAAGACTCATCCAACGGCCCCAAGATGGCGTCCAAGTGCGCTGAAAATGGTCCAAGATGGTCTCCAAGACGGCCCAAGAGGGTCCAAGATGCGTCTGAGTCCGCCCAGGAAATCTCCACGACGGCCCCAGGCGACCCAAGAGGCCCCAAGGAGGCCTCCAAAACGGCCCCAAAGGCCTCCAAGAGGTTTCCAGGAAAGCCCGAACGGGTCCAAGGCATTGGTTTTCCAGCACGGTTTCTCGAGGATCTGGGTCTTGCTTCCTCTCGGCCTTCCGACAGCTCAACACGGCGCACGCGGCCCCCCCCAAAATGACCTCAAGGTCGCCCAAGAGAGGAGGAGCAGGAGGAGGAGGAGGCCGAAAGCGGCCTCTGCTCGTGGACCTCCAGCATCCCCCGAGGGGGGCCGCCCGAGGGGGAGGGTGGGCCGCCCGAGGGGGGGGGGGCCGCTGGCCTCGGCCAACTGCCTCTCGACGCCCGCCGCCTGGCCGCGCTCCTGGCGCAGCGCCTGCTGCAGCCGGGCCACGTCCTCTGCGGCAGGAGCGCCGTGCGCTGGCCACGCCAGAGGGGCCTCCCAGATGGGGCCCGAGTGCCCAGACCCCCTCGAGGCATGAAAAATTCACGGCGGGAGGTTTTTCGCTATTTTTGGGCCTCCGGGGGCCCTCGCCGGGCCTCGGGAGCGTCAAAAACAACGATTCAGGATGAAGAGCCAGTCCTGGGGAATGGGTCGAGCTCTCCAGGGCCGACGTTGTGACACAAATCATGACGTCGGGTGTCGGAGTACTCGGAGTACCCTGACCTTCCAGGAGGGCTTAAAACTATAGAGCGCCAGGGCCTCGACATCCAAAAATGCCGGTCGAGGTTTTATTAGGCGGCCCCGACAGGCCTCTAGGTCTGGAGTGTTACGTTTTAGCACTCTGGAAGGTCAGGGCAGGTGGGGTCGGAGGATCGCGCCGCGTCGCCGCTGTATCGGCGAAATCGGCTCTACATCGAGCCGCATCGGCGATTCATCGGCGATGCGGCACGATCCTTCGACACCATCTGCTCGGACCCCCTCTGGAAGGCCTAGAGCCGTGCGCCGTCCGTTGCCAAGTTCTTCCCTCGGAGGTTCAAGGACCACTGGCTCTTTTGGACGTGCTCGGCACGTTCGGAGCGTTTTTCCAGGGCTTCCCAAATCTCAGAGAAGGAAAAGGTACCGATGCCGATATCCTTGCTTCGTTTTCGACTTGTTGGGCCTCCTGCGAGGCCCTAGTCGCCACCGCTGGATTTGCCATGAAATTCTGGTCACAACGCACCAGGGAGAAGTCCGGGGAGTAGCGGTATGGGTGCTTTTCTGTTTCCTTCAATCCAGGAGGGACTTTAACCAGGACTTTGAGAAGGACCTTGAGAATGCCACTTGGACCTTTGACCAGGACCTTTCTGTTTCTCTCTATGCTGACCAAGACTTTGGGGATTCCACCTGGAGGGAAGGAATGATGGAAAAACGTTTCGGCCAATGGCTGCAGTTTTCTCGGGCGCACCAGTGGCATGGTTTATCGAAGCCCCCGTTGAGGCCACCTGATTGTTGGCCCTCTCCAAGCCACCGGAAGCCTTCGGGGGCCTCGCGGGGACTTCGGGGGCCAGGGCCTGGGGCGGACGCACCACGTGCTCGTCGTCGTCGTCGTCGACGTCTTCGTCGTGGTCGTGGTCGTCGTGGACCTCTAGCGGCCCTCTGCTGCCTTCGGCGGTCGGGGCTGCGGCGCTGAGGCTCCCGTCGCCGCCGTCGTCGTCCGTCGGTCGTCGTCGTCGTCGTCCGTCGGTCGTCGTAGTTGTCGTCGTCGCCGTCGTCGTCGTCGTCGTCGTCGTCGTCGTCGTCATCGTCGTCGTAGTCGTCGTCGTCGTCGTCGTCGTCGTCGTCGTCGTCGTCGCCGCGGTCATCGCGGTCGTGGTCGTCGTCGCCCAAATTCGAGGTGCGAGAATCTGAAATTTGGAAACCTGAACTTTTGGAAGTCTGGGCAGTTTTCGGGCGCGCTGGGTCTCGTCGCCGATGTCACCGCCGTCGTCGTCGTCGTCGTCGTCGTCGTCGTCGTCGTCGTCGTCGTCGTCGTCGTCACCGACGTCGTCGTCGGCGTCCACCGGTCGTCGTCGTCGTCCGTCGGTCGTCGTCGGTCGTCGCCGTCGTCGTCGTCGTCGTGGTCGTCGCGGTCGTCGTCGTCGTCGTCGATGCCGCGGTCGTCGCGGTCGTGGTCGTCGTCGCCCAACTTCGAGGCGCGTGGATCTTTTGGAAACTTGGAGAGGTTTCGGGCGCGCAGGGTGTCGTCGTCGATGTCACCGCCGTCATCGTCGTCGTCGTCGTCGTCGTCGTCGCCGCGGTCGTCGTCGTCGGCGGCGTCGTCGTCGTCGTCGTCGTCGTCGCCGTCGTCCGTCGGTCGCCGTCGTCGTCGTCGTCGTCGTCGCCGTCGCCGTGGTCGTCGTGGTCGTCATGGTCGTCTTGGTCGTCGTCGCCGCGGTCGTCGCGGTCGTGGTCGCGGTCGATCAAATTCAAGGTGCGAGGATCTTAATTTTTGGAACCTGAACTTTTGGAAGTCTGGGCAGTTTTCGGGCGCGCTGGGTGTCGTTGTCGTCGTCGTCGTCGTCGTCGTCACCGTCGCTGTCGCCGTAGTCGCTGTTGTCGTCGTCGTCGTCGTCGTCGTCGTCGTCCGTCGGTCGTCGTCGTCCGTCGGTCGTCGTCGTGGTCGTCGTCGTCGTCGTTGTCCTTGTCGTCGTCGTCGCCGCGGTCGTGGTCGTCGTCGCCCACATCCGAGGTGCGAGGGCCTTAACTTTTGGAACCTGGACTTTTGGGAGCCTGGGCAGTGATCGGGCGCGCTGGGTGTCGTCGTCGATGTCGCCGCTGTCGTCGTCGTCGTCGTGGTCGTCGTCCGTCGGTCGTCGTCGTCATCCGTCGGTCGTCGTCGTCGTCGTCTGTGTCGTCGTCGTGGTAGTCGTCGTCGTGGTCGTCGCGGTCGTGGTCGTCGTCGCCCAAATTCGAGGTGCGAGGATCTTAATTTTTGGCACCTGAACTTTTGGAAGTCTGGGCTCTGGGCAGTTTTCGAGCGCGCTGGGTGTTGTCGTCGATATCACCGCCGTCGTCGTCGTCGTCGTTTTCGTCGTCGTCGTCGTCTTCTTCGTCGTCACCGTCGTCGTCGTCGTCGTCGTCGTCGTCGATGTCGTCGTCGTCATCGTCGTCTTCGTCGAAGTCGTCGTCGTCCGTCGGTCGTCGTCGTCGTCCGTCGGTCGTCGTCGTAGTCGTGGTCGTCGTGGTCGTCGTCGTCGCCGCGGTCGTCACGGTCGTGGTCGTCGTCGCCCGAATTCGAGGTGCGAGGATCTGAAATTTGGGAACCTGAACTTTTGGATGTCTGGGCAGTTTTCGGGCGCGCTGGGTCTCGTCGCCGATGTCACCGCCGTCGTCGTCGTCGTCGTCGTCGTCGTCGTCGTCGTCGTCGTCGTCGTCGTCGTCATCGTCGTCGTCGTGGTCGTCGTCGTCGTCGGTCGTCGGTCGTCAGCGTCGTCGTCGTCGTCCGTCGCTCGTCGTCGTCGTCCGTCGGTCGTCGTCGGTCGTCGTGGTCGTCGCCACGGTCGTCTGGGCAGTCTTCGGGCGCGCTGGGTGTCGCCGTTGATGTCACCGCCGTCGTCGTCGTCGTCGTCGTCACCGTCACCGTCGTCGTCGTCGTCGTCGCCGTCGTCGCCGCGGTCGTGGTTGTCGTCGCCCGAATTCGAGGTGCGAGGATCATAATTTTTGGAACCTGAACTTTTAGAAGTCTGGGCAGTTTTCGGGCGCGCTGGGTGTCGTCGTCGATGTCACCGCCGTCGTCGTCGTTGTCGTCGTCGTCACCGTCGCTGTCGCCGTCGCCGTCGTCGCTGTTGTCGTCGTCGTCGTCGTCATCGCTGTCGTCGTCGACGTCGTCGTCCGTCGGTAGTCGTCGTCGTCGTCGTCGTCGTCGTCGTCGTCGTCGTCGCCCTTGTTGTCGTTTTTGTCGTCGTCGCCGCGGTCGTCGCGGTCGTGGTCGTGGTCGCCCACATTCGAGGTGCGAGGGCCCTGATGTTTGGAACCTGAACTTGTGGAAGGCTGGGCAGTTTTCGGGCGCGCTGGGTGTCGTCGTCGATGCCACCGTCGTCGTCGTCGTCTGTGTCGTCGTCGTCGTCGTCGTCACAGTCGTCGTCGTCGTCGTCGTCGTCGTCGTCGTCGTCGTCGTCGTCGCCGTGGTCGTCGCCACGGTCGCCGCGGCCGTGGTCGTGGTCGCCCAAATTCGAGGTTCGAGGATCTTAATTTTTGGAACCTGAACTTGTGGAAGTCTGGGCAGTTTTCGGGCGCGCTGGGTGTCGTCGTCGATGTCGCCGCCGCCGTCGTCGTCGTCGTCGTCGTCGTCACCGTCGTCGTCATCGTCGTCGTCGTCGTGGCTGCCGTCTTCGTCGTCGTCGTCGTCGTCGTCAGTCGTCTTCGTCGCCGCGGTCGTCGCGGTCATGGCCGTCGTCGCCCAAATTCGAGGTGCGAGGACCTGAATGTTTGAAACCTGAACTTTGAAAGTCTGGGCAGTATTCGGGCGCGCTGGGTGTCGTCGTCGATGTCACCGCCGTCGTCGCCGTCGTCGTCGCCATCGTCACCGTCGTGGTCGTCGTCGTCGTCGTCGTCGTCGTGATCGTCATGATCGTCGTCGTCGCCGTGGTCGTCGCGGTCGTGGTCGTCGTCGGGCAAATTCGAGGTGCGAGGATCTTAAGTTTTGGAACCTGGGCTTTTGGACATCCTGGCAGTTTTCGGGCGTGCTGGTTGTCGCCGTCGATGTCACCGCCGTCGTCGTAGTCGTCGCCGTCGTCGTCGTCGTCGTCGTCGTCAACGTCGTCGTCGTCGTCGTCGTCCGTCGGTCGTTGTCGTCGTCCGTCGTTCGTCGTCGTCGTCGTCGTCGTCGTCGTCGTCAACGTCGTCGTCGTCGTCGTCGTCGTCGTCGTCCGTCGGTCGTTGTCGTCGTCCGTCGTCGTCGTCGTTGTCGTCGTCGTCGTCGTCGTCGTAGTCGTCGTCGTCGTCGTCATCGTCGTCCGTCGTCATCGCCGTCGTCGCCGCAGTCGTCGTGGTCGTCGTCGTCGTCGTCGTCGCCGCGGTCGTTGCGGTCGTGGTCGTCGTCGCCCAAATTCGAAGTGCGAGGATCTTAATTTTTGGAACCTGAACCTTTGGAAGTCTGGGCAGTTTTCGGGCGTGCTGGTTGTCGTCGTCGAGTCGCCGCCGCCGTCGTCGTCGTCGTCGTCGTCGTCGGCGTCGTCGTCGTCGTGCGTCGGTCGTCGTCGTCGTCGTCGTCGTCGTCGTCGTCGTTGCAGCGGTCGTTGCGGTCGTGTTCGTCGTCGCCCAAATTCGAGGTGCGAGGATCTGAATTTTGAGAACCTGAACTTGTGGAAGTCTGGGCAGTTTTCAGGCGCGCTGGGTCTCGTCGCCGATGTCACCGCCGTCGTCGTCGCCATCGTCGTCGTCGTCGTCGTCTGTGGGTCGTCGTTGTCGTGCGTCGGTCGTCGTCGTCGTCGTCG